GCACAGTAGGCAGCCGGATACTGTTGTAGAGGCTCTGATACCAGGCAATCAGGATGATTCTAAACTGCTCCATTTCCTAGCTCTGTGGCCTTGGGCAAGTTACTTGACCTCCTTAAGCCTATATTCCCCATCTATAAAAGAGCAAAAATAGTAGTATCCTAGTCATAGAACTATTGGGGGTTGATTAATGAAATCATGCAAAAGCACTTAGTGACTGGTTTGTCAGAAATAACCAGTAAGTGCTACTGCTTATTTACGTGTTTACTTGTTTATTTTTATTAGAGGTAGGGTCTCCCTCTGATGCTCAGGCTGGAGTGCAGGGGCACAATCATGGCTCACTGCAAGCTTGAACTCCTAGGCTCAAGCGATTCTCCCTCTTCAGCCTTTCTAGTAGCAGGGACTTCAGGCACATGCCACCATGTCTAATTTTTCTATTTTTTTAAAAAATAGAGTTGGGATCTCACTATGTTGCCCAGGCTGTTCTCAAACTCCTGGCCTCAAAGGGTCCTTCTGCCAAGGCCTCCCAAGTGCTGGAATTTTAGGTGTGAGTCACCACACCTAGCCAGTGCTACTTGTGATTATTATTACTCTCATGGTTAGCAGGATGAAAAAATTTGGGTGACAGAGATTTGAAGCCTATGAAGAACTATGAAAATGTGAAATATTATCACTATTAAGAATAGTGTTGAGAAGTGAGATCCAAAGAGCACAGTATTAAGAGCAGCCTCTCCCCTAACCTCAGATTTTTTACTTGTAAATGAAGTGGTTTGATTAGAATATCTCAAAGACCCATTCCAGCTCCAAAAATTCTATGATTCCATAACTTTTGGAGCAAATGACTTACATAGAAATCTTACACATTTCCTGGAATAGAGTAGGTCAATATGCATATTAATGGCCAAAGTACATTTCTGAAGTTGATAAAAGTTAACCCAAACTGTAACAATCAGAAAGAGCCTTCTTAGGGGAATGCAGTGGAAAAGCAAACTACTCCTACCCACCTCAGGAATTTGGGGGGACATCATTGTGGCAGAAGAGAATTTATATCTAACATGGCAATACTGAACTACTTATAAAGAAGATGAGATTATGTTCAGCATCTGTATACTTAGCTAAGGAAGTGGGTGCAATAACCCTTAAAATTGTCTGGATTCGTGGCTTTGGATAGTTATGTTGTGGCTGGCAGCCGCTCACACCTTCCTACCATTTGCTGAGAACCTGCAATGTTCCAGGAGTGGTGGTATGCTCTGAGGCTACTGAGACAGTCTATATTCTCAAGGGACTGACAATCTACTGGTTAAAGCATTTTAACTGTGGAGGATAATTTTGCATTTTCCGCATAGTCCTGCATGGTGCTTACATTGTTTATATATTGTTTGTCTATTATTCTGTGAAAACATAGCTGTTTGTGTATTCAGCATTGGCTTGCTTCTCCACCCTCAGCCCTCCAGCAGCTTCTGGATGTTAAATATTATCTCTTCATGTGAGCTATACCAGAAGGAAGAGTCATCTGTTACTCTTTTACTTCCTTAATGAGCCCTCAAGCTGGTTTGCAGGGCAGCTATTTATCCTTTCTTTCTTTTCTTCCAGAGGATAGATGGTTCAGATTTAGCTGCTTGGTCTGATTCTCTCCCAGGACTTAAATTTTATTCTTCTTGTCCCATTTCCATCTTCCCTTCAAATAAAATAAAATAATCAGAAACAATCGCCAAAAGTAGATAGCAGGGTGTGGTGGCAGCACTTTGATGGATAGACCAAATATTTCTTTTGCTACTATAGCAACTACTATTAAATGTCTTGTCACATACCTTTGATTCTCTTTGGAAATGTGAAAGTTATTTTGCATATGTGCTTAAAATCACCTCAATTACCGAAAATACTTTCATCTCTCTCCAAGATTCTTCTTAATGGGGCTTTTACTATTTTTTTCAGATATTGTTATAAATGCAGAATGCAGTCTTGACTAATTTCTCCAAACTAGTTGATTTCTCTAAATATTCTTGTCCCAAATATTTTCATATTATTTGAGAAACACAAGGATATTATGAAAATCATAATTGAGAAATTTTCCATAAAAACAATTAAAAATAAGTTTGATTCTTAAAGATACTTTTTTGTATGTGGAAAATTGATAATGGATAACTCAGTGTTTATTGAACAATTCATTAAATAAACATGTATTAAATGCCTGTGTCAGGTCTTGTGCAAAGTACTGAAAACATAAAGGAGATTAAATGATTGCTGCTTTCATGGAGCTTAATTAAGAGCTGCTTGCTTTATATCTTGTATAAATACTTAATATTTTACAAAACACTTTCCATATATAATAACTCATTTCATCCTCAGGACAATAAATCCTGGTTTCATACTTAATAAATGTGCACTTTCTTGTTGCTGGTTTTTTTTTTTTTTCAGACAAGGTCTCACTCTGTCACCCAGACTGGCGTACAGTGGCGCAATCCTGGCTCAGTGCAACCTCCAGGTGATTCTTATGCCCCAGCCTCCCATGCAGCTGGGACTACAGACGTGTGCTACCACATTTGGCTAAGTTTTAGTATTTTTGGTAGAGAGGGGGGTCTCATTATTTTGCCCAGACTGTTCTCAAACTCCTAGCCTCAAGTGATCCACTCACCTCAGCCTTTCAAAGTGCTGAGATTACAGGTGTGAGCCACTGTGCCTAGCCACTCACTGTTTTTAGCAACCAGAATGTTCACTTTGATGATAATGTTAGTATTTCTCCATTATTCCTGGTTTGATTTTATTATTCCTGGTTTGATTTTATATGCCTAATGATTAGCAGTTCACAAAGTGCTTTCATGTCTTATTGGAAACACAAGTTTTTTCATTTTCTCAGCTTCTAGTCATTGTTCTAGTCTTCCTCTTGTGGGAAGGGAGAGAGGACTCAAATGACTTCTCAAATTTCTTGTGAGTGCTATTAAAATAACAGTAAGCTCTACTGTATATCCAAGGTGAGGACCTTGCTCTTAGATTTCTTTCCTCCAGAGCCTTTAGGCCATAATTTCAGAAGTTCATTCTTACTTCATTTTTCCCTTTCATTTTCCCTTTATTTCATTCCTGATCATGCCTTCCAGGTCATGCTTTACTTGGGAATTCTGTTTCTGTCAAAAAAATAGAAATAATTTAGCAACTTAGGGATTATTCTGCCCAATGTGTTCACTTTACAGAGGAGTTCACTGAGGCAGAGAGCCAACAAGTGTCAATGTCAAACCCACACAAACAAGTGGTAGAGATAGGCTTGAATCTGAGATTACTTTTCTGCCAGATGTCTTTTAAAGGCATCAAGCTCTCTTTAAATATTAGCTGGGCATGGTGGCGCGTGCCTGTAATCCCAGCTACTCAGGAGGCTGAAACAGGAGAATTGCCTGAACCCAGGAGGCAGAGGTTGCGGTGA